TATTTGTGTATATATAATTCAAATTATAATTTTTAATTATTTGCATTTATCAATGTTTTAATATTGGGCATGAATTTTCGCGCATCGCGCGTACAAAATGCTAGTAATAATAATATAAGCCAACGTACTATTATATATGTAGTGTGATGACACCTCGCTCTGATCTTATATGTTGGATTTTTCATTCCTTTTCTTTCCTTTTTCGATGTCCTAGCTTGAATTAATAAAATCATATATATTGTAACAAGTTAAAACTAGATTATATTGCAAAGTTGAAAATTTTAGTATGAACAAGAAATTAGGTAGAATATATTTGCAGACCAATTAACGGCTAAAACCAAGAAAGGGTTGGGCATGCAACTTCATGGAGAAATCCTATTAGGCTGTGTTTGGAAACCCGGAAAATGATTTCTGAAAGTCATTTTCTGAGTTTTTGGTGTTTGGCTACACCTGAAAAATCCAGTCAACGGAAAACATTTTCCGTTGACTGGGGAAAATGAGCCCAATTTGGCGGAAAATGACTTCCTCCAAATTTGGGCGGAAGTCGTTTTCCGCCTCTTCTCTTTCATTTTTTTTTTTTTTTAAATTCTGGCGGAACTGGGTTCCGCCAGAAAAGAAACCATAGCCATGGTTTCCCAGAAATCAGTTCCGCCGGAAGCCATACTTTTTTTTTTCTTTTTTTTTTTTTTTGTTTTGTTTGTTTTTTTTTTTTTGTTTTAAAGATTTAAAATAAATTTTTAATTCAGAATAAAATAATTAAAATATTTAATTATACCATTCTACTCATTTTCCAGAAAATGAACCAAACACACCAAAACAGTTTTCCAAATGCAACCAAATACTGGAAAAGGAAAATGTTTTCCGGAAAATGACTCATTTTCCAGAAGTCATTTTCCTGTTTTCCAAACGAACCCTTAGTTTCTTCAATAGAAATATCAGTTGACTTTTACAAATTCTTTACTACAAGACATATGGTGTAAGTAATAAAAAATTTAAGTTTGTACTAATTTAATTTGGTAATAAAATTCTCTACTTGACTACTTGTATGAGTCGACAACCGCCAACGACGGGGTCAAGCTAGTATATGGCACAGAGTGTAGAAACGATAATGGAGGAAAAAAAATACTTTTCTGCATTATAATCTAGCTAATTTCAGCCTATATATATACGTACATTAGCTTCCTACACTATGGCCTAAATCTAAGCAAATCAATTAAATAAGTAAATACAATATTTACATAATATAATCAAATTATAAATAAGTAAACATACTATTTACATAATCAGTCTAATTTTTTGACAGTAGATTTTCTTCCTAAGATTGCTCCCGCCAACACAGAGACTATATAAATTGGATCATTGAGAATAAAATAATGATTCATGAATGCCTGCAGAGCCTACAACGTTAATTAGAAATGGCAAGATACTATGCTATGGTGGACGACGGTATAGTCTCCTTGGAGGGGTCGGGCTTCTTTATTATGCTAGGTATGGTTATAATGTCTGTCATGATGATTTCTATGGTTATCTTTGCTTGCGGTGATTCTAAAAATGGAAACAGTCGGCGTCGTACTGGTTATGGTGGCGGCGGTTTCGTTGGAGGGGGTGGTAGTTTTGTTGGAGGAGGAAGCAGTTGCGGCGGCGGTGGTGGTGGTGGTGGTGGTGGTGGCGGATGTGATGGTGGTGGTGGAGGAGGTGGAAATGGTGGCGGAGGAGGTGGTTGTTAAATTAGAAAGTACCAGCAACTTAAATTAGTTGTTACACTTGAAATGTTTACATATATAGTATCTAGAATTAAGAACCTATTTAAATAGTAAAACTTTATTGTATACTATGTCAAAATTCTTGATCATGGTATGTAGAATATATTGTACACTCATCTTTTTGAAAATTTCTCTCTCTCTCTCTCTCTCTCTCTCTCTCTCTATATATATATATATATATATATATATATATATATATATATATATATATATATATATATATATATATATATATATATATATATATATAAGTTGGGTATTATTGAAGCTTAATTACATTTGATGTCTCATCAACATATATGATTATTACGAACGCATTGTATTTATTTTGCAACTTTAATCTTAACATGAAGTCGATGATGCTACATAACATTTATACACTATTGAGATCCACATTGACTAACCACGTGCACAAAGTATCACATCATCATAAGGAATTTTTGTTGCAAATAAATCATAATCTTTAATTGTATGACGATATCAATAAATCTTCTAGCGGCCTAGCTTAGCTTACCAAGGGAGAAAAGAATGGATTGTTAAAAAGGATAGAATAAGCCCGGGGAACCTGGGAGGTGCATGTGTTTCGATTACAAGATTAGAATAGTGGTTAGTGTTATAATTACCACGATGCTCTGCTAGTAAGCAATTTAACATGGCTTTTGTTAGGTTGAAATGAGAGGTTTAATTTAGACTTATGAAATTCGAAAATGATTCACATTATTTAGTTGTGAAAAAAGTGAAGAATGGAGGAAAATAAAAAATAAAAAATCATTTACACCTCATTGATTCTATTATTAAAGAGCTTCTTAATAAGAGTTGGAGGTGTGAGAATAGACATATCCATATTCATAGAAAAAGGGGCCGTTTACTTAAAAAAAAAAAAAAAATCTTTTGTTTTCTATATTTTAATTTTTCAGTTCATTCTCTATTTATTGTTTAAAAAAATTTGTTTATTAGCATTATTTTTTAAAATTTATTATATATTTTTATACTAACATTATAAAATTAACACAATGTAACTTTTGAGTGATTTTATACCTTATATCTAAAATATTTTTTGTTATGTTTGGTTTAAATGGAATAAGTATAATTTTTACTTTTAAGCAAGTCTAATATATGTAAAAATTTTACATTTGATGATATTCGGACCAAATTTATATCCTTATATAAAATATAACTAAAAATATATCTGAACCAATATATAACTTAATAAGTTTGGATAATATTAATATTTTTTATTGAGTTAGTATTTAAAATATTTTTGATATATTAATTTGAATTATATATATATATATATATATATATATATATATATATATATATATATATATATATATATATATATATATATATAAAATTCAAGTTAATATATATAATTAGGTTCAAATGTAAACACGTGTATCATTGTGCACCGTTGATCTTGCTTAATCTTGTGGTTTATAATTTTTTTTGACCTGATAAATACAACCTACGGTTTATCCGGCAACACCCTTCCCCTTTTCTTACTAAAAATAGGTTTGTTTTTCTGGTTTCTAACTTTTTATACTCACTCGATACTAAACACGTTTAGGACCCGAATCAAAATTACAGTGACCCAGATGAAGAACAAGAAGCTCCCGAGATATCCATGTGGTCGTCAATCATATGGCTTTCCATTTTGACTGCATGGATAGCTCTTCTATCTGAATATTTGGTTAACGCTATAGAGGTAACTTAATCTTGCAAACTTACCTCTTACGGAGTTTCTTGGCATTCTTCTAGTAGAGTTACAGGCTCTCCTCTCTAAATTGGAGTCTTCCACCTTCCAAAGGGCCAAATCCTCACTTTTACATTTAGTTGCCATTGACTTGTTTAACAACATATTCTGGAGGTATGGAAAAATCCTTGAGTTTTTTCAATAGAGATATCCTTTGACTTTTTCAAATACTTTACTCCAAGACGTGCAAGCTAACGCAAGCAATAATAAGAAAGATTTAATTCCACTAGAGGTACTTGTTTTTTTGTGGGAATTTCAAATTTAGTCCTAAACTATTATTTTTACCATTTAACATTCTAGACTATTATCCTCGAAAACATCCTAGCCTATTATTTTTTGACACTTTTAGTCATTCTCATATGACTACTTTTTTTTTTTTTTAATAATGGCATTTTTGTCTTTTCATATTTTTTCAGTTTCAATCGGTTTAATAAGGTCAGTAATCTTTGCCTTGGGAAGCTTGTGGATGAAGTTGAAGATCGATGGACTTTTTTGTCCTTTTAGTTGATTACCTAATTTGAAAACATATGTGCATAAACTGCTGAAAGGAATCACAGACTGCTTTAAATTGGAGTGCAAAACCTAAATTTCCAGCTTTTCCCTTCATTTCAATATCAACTTAACGCCAAAGCTAACAAAGGACCATTTTGACTTAAAATTCAAAAGTCGGATGACCATTTTGGAGAAATTAAAAGTCAATGGGCCAATTTGAGAAAAGGCCCTAGTCGGATGATCATTTTGGGAATTAACTCTAAAAAATAAAGAGAAAATGGACAAGAAATTTTATAAATATTGAAAGTTTGCAATAATATAATTATAAAATTCATCCCATATTTTTTAAAGTGAAAATTAAAATAAGTAATAAAATATAATTTACTTACAAATAGGGGTAACCTTTTAAAGTCCAACTTGCTTATGGGAATTAATTAATCCCATTAAAAAATTAATTCAACATTTGATAGCGGAGTACAAAATCAATAATTAGAGGACCGGCCTAGTTTTTTTTTTTTTTTTTTTTTTTGGACAAAACCGGCCTAGTTAATTAGATCATTTTTAAAGTCAATAATGGCAAACTTGATTAAATGTATATAATCTATGGACCAAAAGATGCTTTGCCCTTAGAATAAGGCATTGTCACATTCTTGTGATTATGTATGGTATTTAATTATATTGCAAGTTGTAATAATAATAAGTCAACTACTATATGTAGTGTGATGACATCTCTAATGTGTTTGATTTTTCATCCCTTTTCCTCCCATTTTTTATGTCCTAGCTTGAATTAATAAAATCATATATATTGTAACAAGTTAAAACCAGATTGCAAAGTTGTAAATTTTAGTATGAAATTAGGTAGAATATATTTGCAGACCAATTAACGGTTCAAACCAAGAAGATCAGAGGTGGGGCATATATATGCAACTTCATGGAAAAATCCTATTAGTTTCTTCAATAGAAATATCATGAGTTGACTTCTACAAATACTTAGCTTTACTCCAAGACGTACGTACAGGGCAAGTAATAAGAAAATTAAATTTGCTAATAAAATTATGTACCTAGCTACTTGTATGAATCGACAACCGCCTACGACCGAGCTGAGTCAAGTATATGGCACAGAGACTCTATATAAATTGGATCATTGAGAATAAAATAATGATCCATGCATGCCTGCAGAGCCTACAACGTTAATTAGAAACAATGGCAAGATACTATGCTATGGTGGACAACGGTGCAGCCTCTTTGGCGGGGTCGGGTTTTTTTATTATGATAGGTATGGTTGTAATGTCTGTCATAATGATTTCTATGGTTATCTTTGCTTGCGGTGACTCTAAAAATGGGGATAATCGGCGTCGTACTGGTTATGGTGGCGCTGATTTCGTTAGAGGAGGAAGTGGTTGTGACGGTGGCGGTGGCGATGGCGGATGTGGTGACGACAGTAGAGGAGGTGGTGGTGGTGGCGGATGTGGTGACGACAGTGGAGGAGGTGGTGGTGGTGGAGGAGGTGGTTGTTAAATTAGAGAGCAGGAACTTAAATTAGTTGTTACAAAATTGAAATAATGCTGGCTATTATTGTTTACCAGCCTAGTATATCTAGAATTAAGGATTTATTTAAATACTGAGTACTAAAACTTTGTTAGTTAAGTTGTATGATACAATTATTGATCATGGTAGAATATATTGTATATTCATCTTTTATTATTATTTTTATTATTATTATTATTGAAAAATGTCTATGGATATGTATATATGAGTTCGGTATTATTTAACATGGCTTTTGTTATATTAGGTTGAAATGAGAGGTTTAGAGTTATGAAATTCGAAAGTGATTCACATTTAGTTGTGGAAAAAGTGAAGAATGAAGGAAAATAAAAAATTCTCATTTACACCTCATTGATTCTATTATTAAAGATCATATTAGATCAGTTACAAGAAGCAGTTAGAGTGGTAGTTAATCTTGATTAGATTAGTTAGTTTGGTCATTATGTACTGTAGCAGAAGAGCAACACTGTTCCATTAGTATATAGCAAAGTCTCTGTATGTTCATAAATCAGTTTTTGATGAATGAAGATAAGAGCCCTTTTCTCCTCATTTCACTCTCTAAATCATGATATGGTATCAGAGCAAGTATAAGCTATTCTCATAGCTTGGAACGGCACGATGAACAGACCTAACGCTGCAGCATCGACGGCTCCGGCGACAGCTCCGGCGACTAGTGCACCACCTGGTTTTGAGACAGTCAATTCCGGCATCCCAGGAGCAATATTTGATCCGAACGACGCTGCTAGCCCCTTTTTCTTACATCCTAGCGAAAACCCCTCCCTAATCCTAGTATCCATGCCCCTTGACGGCCGGAATTACCACACCTGGGCCAGGGCGATGGAGATGTCACTTCTATCAAAGAACAAGCTAGGGTTCGTCGATGGAACGATTGGGATGCCCAGCCTTGGTGAAGTAAGATATCCTTACTGGAAGAGATGCAACAACATGGTTGCTACCTGGATCATGCGATCTGTTTCCCCAGAAATTGCTCAAACCGTTCTTTGGATCGGAACAGCAGAGAAGATATGGAGTACCCTGAAGGCAAGATTTAGTGAATCAGACATTTTTAGAATTTCTGACCTTCATGCCGAGATACACCAAACGAGGCAAGGAGACCTCACTGTAAGTGCTTTTTTTGCCAAATTGAAGGTACTGTGGGATGAACTCCAGGTAATAAGGCCATTGCCTACTTGTAAATGTGAGAGGAGATGTGATTGTGGTCTACTGGAAACTCTTGAACAGCAACAGGAGAGTGACAATCTTTCAGTATTTCTAAGAGGACTAAATGACACATATGCCTCGGTCCAATCTCAAATTATGATGACAAAGCCACTCCCTACTGTTGATGAAGCTTTTATGATGATCCAACAACAAGAAAGGAGGTTCAATAACACAGGGGTAAGCTTGCAAGTTCAAGAAGCAGGAAGTATCTTGTTTACTCAAGGTAGTAATGGAAACTCAGGACCAAAGAAGTTCTCCTCTAACAACAATAGTAGAAGACCTGTGTGTTCTTACTGTGGTTACACTGGCCACACAGCAGAGAAGTGTTACAAGAAGAACGGGTATCCACCAGGGTGGAAACCAAGAAGCAAGAATGTTGGCTCTGTTAATCAAGTACAGATGGGGTCAGTTGAAGGCACTGGTTCTGTCACCTTGAGTCAGGAGGAATATAAGATTCTCAAGCAAGTCCTGCAGAGGGATATGATTCACTACTCTTCACCATTGAATGATGTTGGAGAATTGACACCACAGGCTAACTTGATTGCAGCCAATTTTGCTCCCAATCCACAGGTCGAAGGTAATTGCTCTAAACCTACCTTTAGTAACAAAACTAGCTGGATTTTGGATAGTGGAGCCACTCACCATGTTGTTTGTCATCTTGGGCTGTTGACCAATGCTAAAAGGGTCCAAGGTATGTTTGTTGAATTGCCTAATGGTGATAGGGCAGATATTACCCATATAGGCTCTATACATGTTGATAGGTTGAATCTGCAAAATGTCTTCTGTGTTCCTGCATTTCACTATAATTTGATCTTTGTTAGTGAACTGATTAAATCCTCTAAGTGCAAGCTGCTATTACAATCTGATGTTTGCATAATACAGGATCAGGATTGTGGGAAGATGATTGGCTTGGCTAGTCTGAAGAAAGGGTTATATCACCTTGAAACACCTCAGATGTCCATTCATGCTGTGTTAGGACACATTAGGGCCAACACATGTAATTCTAGTAGTCACTGGCATGCTAGACTAGGACATTGTTCATATGAAAAGCTGAAACAATTGTCTCTATTGGATGGAAGTTTGAAAATGAATAAAAATGAAGTTTGCACTATATGCCATCTAGCTAAACAGAAGAGATTACCCTTCAATAATAGTACTACTATCTCCAATGATTGCTTTGAATTAGTGCACATGGATATTTAGGGACCATATCATACACATACTATATATGGCCACAGGTTCTTTTTAACTATTGTGGATGATTTTAGCAGGGCCACTTGGGTTTACTTGATGAGAAGCAAAGCTAAAGTCAGAACCCTAATAAAGAACTTTTGTGCTTTCATCCTGACACAGTTTGAGAGAAAGATTAAGTGTGTCAGGACAGATAATGGCCAAGAATTCAAGATGGACTCTTTTTTTCAAGAGAAAGGGATTATTCATCAAACAACTTGTGCCTATACACCACAGCAAAATGGTGTGGTGGAGAGAAAGCATGGCCACATCCTGACAGTTGCAAGGGCATTAAAGTTCCAAGCAGGACTCTCAGATGCTTTTTGGGGTGATTGCATTCTACATGCAGTCTACATCATCAACAAATTACCATCAGCAGTTCTAAAAGGACAAACCCCTCATCAAACCTTGTTCAAAAAGGTACCTCAGTATTCCCATCTAAGAGTGTTTGGATGCCTAGCTTATGCTATTCTACACAGAGGGCATCAAAGAAAGTTCTCACCAAGGGCTAGAAAATGCATATTTCTTGGATATCCTAATGGAATAAAAGGGTACAAATTATATGATTTAAACTCTAGAGAAGTGTTCATATCAAGGGATGTGACTTTCTATGAGAATGTCTTTCCACTCAGACTAGAAGGGCAGGATGATAAGCAGTTGCCTCATTCATCTTTGATCTTTCCAATTGGTAGTGGTACTGTGGAAGATGTTGCTGTTTCAAGGCATGATCAAAGAGAGGATCCAAGAGAGGAACCAAGTAGTATTGACACACTTGTGAATTTAGAAAGTCATAACTCAAGCCAGTTACAATCTGAGCAAGTTCCAGTAGAACCTAGAAGATCTACTAGGCAGGTGACAAGACCTGCTTACCTTGATGACTATGATTACAGCTTGCCTGCTACAAAAACCTCCCCTCATGTCCTCTCCAATGTGATGAATTATGATAAGCTTTCCCCTGGATTCAAGGCATTTGCTACCAACATACTCAATGTACAAGAACCCAAGAGTTATAACCAAGCTGTTAAGCATGAGTGCTGGAGGCTAGCTATGCAGGCAGAGATAGAGGCCCTACAAGCTAATAACACCTGGGACCTGACTACACTCCCACCATCCAAGCATCCAATAGGGTGTAGATGGGTTTATAAGGTGAAACACAAGGCAGATGGAACAGTTGAGAGGTGCAAAGCCAGGTTGGTTGCAAAGGGGTTCACTCAGACCTGTGGAATAGATTATGTTGATACATTTAGTCCTGTAGCCAAAGTCACAACAATCAGGACTCTTATAGCCATAGCAGCTGCAAAAGGATGGCAGTTGCATCAACTTGATGTCAACAATGCCTTCCTACATGGGGATTTGCAAGAAGAAGTCTATATGAACCTTCCCCCAGGCTTTACACCCACACAACCAGGGCAAGTGTGCAGGCTAAGGAGATCTCTCTATGGGTTGAAACAGGCAAGCAGGCAATGGAATACTAGACTAACCACTGAGTTGTCTAGCATGGGGTTCAGACAAGCTTCTTGTGATAATTCTCTGTTCACTAGAGGATCAGGTAACACCCTTGTTGCCCTTCTAGTGTATGTAGATGATATAGTACTGGCAAGTAGTGATGACAAACAGATACAACAGATAAAGAATCACTTACATTCAGTGTTTCAGATCAAAGATTTGGGGAATTTGAAGTTTTTCTTGGGACTTGAGATTGCTAGGTCTCATAAAGGGATTTCTGTGACACAAAGAAAGTATGTTTTGGATCTCTTACATGATATAGGCTTCACTGAGAGCAAACCTGCAAAATGCCCAATGGTTCAAACACACAAGATATCCAAATTTGATGGAATAGCTCTGGAGGACAACACTGCTTTCAGAAGGTTGATAGGCAAACTTTTATATCTAACCATTACTAGGCCAGATATCAGTTTTGCTGTCCAACAATTATCTCAATTTCTGGATTCTCCCACTACTATCCACATGCAAGCAGCTCATAGAATATTGAGATACATCAAAGGCAATCCTGGACAAGGACTGTTCTTTCCAGCCACTTCTAATCTGAAGTTAAGTGGCTTTGCTGATTCAGACTGGGCATCATGCCCTGACACTAGAAGATCTGTTGCTGGTTTTTGCACATTCCTTGGAGATGCTCTCATATCATGGAAGTCAAAGAAACAAACCACAGTCTCAAGGTCCTCTTCTGAAGCTGAGTACAGGGCCATTGCCTTAGCAGCATGTGAGTTACAGTGGCTAATCTACCTATTGAAGGTTCTTGAAGTCCAAGTGGATAATGCAGCCATATTGTTTTCAGACAGCAAATCTGCCATTGCTATGGCAGAAAATCCGGTGTTCCATGAGAGGACCAAACATATAGAAATTGATTGCCATTTGATAAGAGAAAAAATCCAGAAAGGAATCATCAAACTTGTGCATGTCTCCACTGAAAATCAGACAGCAGATATACTAACCAAACCTCTACAGCCAATGGTGTTTCACAGTTTAGTCTCCAAGCTAGGACTTCATTCCATGTACAGTCCAGCTTGAGGGGGGATATTAGATCAGTTACAAGAAGCAGTTAGAGTGGTAGTTAATCTTGATTAGATTAGTTAGTTTGGTCGTTATGTACTGTAGCAGAAGAGCAACACTGTTCCATTAGTATATAGCAAAGTCTCTGTATGTTCATAAATCAGTTTTTGATGAATGAAGATAAGAGCCCTTTTCTCCTCATTTCACTCTCTAAATCGTGATAGATCATCTTAATAAGAGTTGGAGGTGTGTGTGTGTGAGAATATACATATCCATATTCATAAAGAAAAACTAATTTATGTGCTCATTTGATGATCACAAATTGAATTGTAGTAATTGGTATATCGGGACTCCATATTTTCTTTATTCTCTTTTGGATAGATGGCATTCATCTCCGACCTTCTCATACATCAAAGTATTTTGACGTAACATGAGCTAGCTTAACTCATTGGTTCAATAGATAATATTTGAGACTAGAAACCAAAATATTCAAAACTCAACAGCAGTAGTGTAGTAGGGATTATGCATGTTCAAAGCGGACATGCAGATCTATTATGTGCACGAGCATTTAACCTTGTCTATTGAGCCATTGAATTACCGTGTCTCCCAAATACTCGGTCGGGTCGAGATGTGGGGGTCTTTAGGGTTGAAAATTCCGATTCAAAGACAGAAATAAGAATAATTTTGGAATAAATGACAAAAATATGAAAGTTTTAAAAAGTAGACAATTTCAGGAAAAACTCACAGAGGTGAAACTTTGGAAGAATGACCAGGGATCGAGTCTCATCAGCGACAGTGTGGGAGCTACCTCTCAAAATGAGGGGGTTTCTTGTGCGCAGTGAGCAAAGGTCTAGCATCTATGCTCTGTCGGGTCTAACCTTTTGGAAGAAGGAAAAACTTATTTGGGACCAAATGAGCTTCTTGAAATTTTTGAAAACATTTTTTTTTAATGGTTGGTCAACGTGAAACGCAAGTGCCACTTACCAAAGCAAATCAAGAGGCCTTCATGTAGTGCCATGCCTTCTCGGAGCTGATAAGGCCGAATAGTAGGTGGCTGATGATGGTGGGAGCTGGGGTCGTTTACTTCGTTTCTCTATTTTTCCATTTCCAATTTTCTATTTCTCCATTTCTCCAGTTTTCCTTTTCCATTCTTCCAGTTTTCCATTTCTCCAATTTTCCAATTTTCATTCCTTATTCCTCTAGTTCTTCATTTTTCTAATTTTCTTATTTTATTAAATACAATCATCCCATATAGCATTTAAGGATGAGGAAAAGGGAAAATGAAAAAAAAAGATAATAATAACAATAATAATAATAATAATAATAATAATAATAATAATAATAATAATAATAATAATAATAATAATAAAAGATAATAAAAGATAATAATAAACTGAAAATAATAATAATAATAATAATAATAATAATAATAATAAAAGATAATAAAAGATAATAATAAACTGAAAATAATAATAATAATAATAATAATAATAATAATAATAAACTGAAAATAATAATAATAATAATAATAAAAGATAATAATAAACTAAAAATAATAATAATAATACTAATAATAATAAAAGATAATAATAAACTGATAATAATAATAATAATAATAATAATAATAATAATAATAATAATAATAATAATAATAATAAAACTGAAGCAAAGGCAAGATAATACTCCGTAATAAACTGAAGCCAAGACGCAAACAAAAAACTAAAGCGCAGGCACACTCATCAGGATAATAATAATAATAATAATAATAATAATAATAATAATAATAATAATAATAATAATAATATAATAATAATAATAATAATAATAATAATAATAATATAATAATAATAATAATAATAAAATTAATAATAAAGACGTTTTCAAATAATAATAATAATAATAATAAATTTGAATCAAACGCACAAAGTTGGAGTCAAACCTGCGACCTCTTGCTAAGGGTACTGTTCACCCAATATTCCTCCATCCCTCCATTTGGAGAAGTCCAAATTTCCTTTCTCCAAAAATATACATGAAGTTGGAAAAAGGAGAAGGAGGAAGCATTTGGAATAAGGATTTTAGTAAACAACTTTTCCATTCTCTATTTTTTTACTCCTCCAACTCTCCATTTTTCTAGAAAATCCTCCATTTTTGCAAGTTGGTAAACGACTGGGGGTCGTTTACTTCGTTTCTCTGTTTTTCCATTTCCAATTTTTCATTTCTCCATTTCTCCAGTTTTCCTTATCCATTCTTCCAGTTTTCCATTTCTCCAATTTTCCAATTTTCATTCCTTATTCCTCTAGTTCTTCATTTTTATAATTTTCTTATTTTATTAAATACAATCATCCCATATAGCATTTAAGGATGAGGAAAAGGAAAAATGAAAAAAAAAGATAATAATAACAATAATAATAATAATAATAATAAAAGATAATAATAAACTGAAAATAATAATAATAATAATAATAATAATAATAATAATAATAATAAACTGAAAATAATAATAATAATAATAATAAAAGATAATAATAAACTGAAAATAATAATAATAATACTAATAATAATAAAAGATAATAATAAACTGATGATGATGATAATAATAATAATAATAATAATAATAATAATAATAATAATAATAATAATAATAATAATAATAATAATAATAATAATAATAATAATAATAATAAAACTGAAGCAAAGGCAAGATAATACTCCGTAATAAACTGAAGCCAAGACGCAAACAAAAAACTAAAGCGCAGGCACACTCATCAGGATTATAATAATAATAATAATAATAATATTATAATAATAATAATAATAATAATAATAATAATAATAATAATAAAAAATTAATAATAAAGACGTTTTCAAATAATAATAATAATAGTAATAATAATAAGATCAAAATAATAATAATAATAATAAATTTGAATCAAAACTAAAGTAGCAAACTAAATTTGAATCAAACGCACAAAGTTGGAGTCAAACCTGCGACATCTTGCTAAGGGTACTGTTCATCCAAAATTCCTCCATCCCTCCATTTGGAGAAGTCCAAATTTCTTTTCTCCAAAAATATACATGAAGTTGGAAAATGGAGAAGGAGGAAGCATTTGGAATAAGGATTTTAGTAAACAACTTTTCCAGTCTCTATTTTTTTACTCCTCCAATTCTCCATTTTTCTGGAAAATCCTTCATTTTTCCAAGTTGATAAACGACCCCTCATTATTTCTGCTCGACTTCGCCGCCTTCAGCGATAAGAATGAACCCCCCCCCCCCCCCCTGCAGTAAAAAAAAAGGGTTTTTGAAGAGAAAAATGGAGGCCAAGTAGAGGGGTTAAAGACCAAAATGGGAACAAACCACTTGAATTGCGTGTCTGTTTGACCGCGAAAACAAATAAAAAAATAAATAAATAAAATTAGATAATAATCCTATATCAAAAGTGTCCTATTTTTGTCAATTTTTTTGGTTTGTTCCCATTTTACTCTTTAACCCAGCAAATTACTTGAGCATTCAATCATTTTTTTTTTATTTTTTTTTTTTTGTGTTCTTTTTCCATGTACAATAACAACAATAATAGATAATAATGCTGAAAAAATGAAAAATGAATTATATTAGTTAGGATATATATATCTGCAAATTAAACCAAGTAACATTATATTTAAGAGCTCAAACAAAGATTTGTCAGCAGCCATGCAACTTCATGGAAAGTTCCTAGTTTTAATTTTTCCACAAAATATCAGTTTACTAATATTTGTTTGAAAACGTAGATTGCAAGGCAACTAGGCAAGCAAGAATTTAAATAGTATACTAATTAAAAATAACAATAAAGAAAAGGACAGCCATATATGCATACAATTTCCACAAAATATCAGTTGAATTTCACTGATAGATATTTGTGGTGGAAGGCAAGTAAGAATTTAAAAATATCTATCAATATTCAATACTCAACCTAGCTATATATATAGAGCAAATACCAATTTTGGTCCCACGAGTATTAGCAAAATGACAGTTTTAGTCCACATGTTTAATTCCTACCAATTTTCATCCACGACTATTACTTTAGTACCAATTTTCATCCACAACTATTGTTTTAGTGCCAAAATTCATCACGCCAATCACACATTTGTTTAAAACATGTCGAAATATGAAACTATTAAGGGTATTTTCGTCTTTTTAAAATTAAGATCCCAATTTGAGCATGAATAAAAAGATTTAAGCCCTAAGATCTATCGTGATTCGCAGTTTTTCTCCTCAAATTAAAGTAGGATGAGGAGGAGAACTGCCAATTGGGATTGATCTTAGGGCTTACATCCCTTTATTCATGCTCAAATTAGAGCCTTAAGTTGAAAAGGACGAAAATGCCCTTAAAATTTTTAGATTTCGACATGTCTTGGATGGAGGGGTGACCGGCGTGATGAATTTTGGTACTAAAATAATAGTCGTGGATGAAAATTGGTACTAAAACAATAGTCGTGGGATGAAAATTGGTAGAAATTAAACATGTGGACCAAAACCGTCATTTTGCTAATATTCGTGGGACCAAAATTGGTATTTGCTCTATATATATATATATATATATATATATATATATATATATATATATATATATATATATATATATATATATATATATATATATATATATATGACCAAGTCAAGTCTACGAGACAGACAGACTCTCTATAAATTCAGTCAGGAAAGAATAATGATCGATCCGTGCCGGCATGCGGCAGAGCTTACGACCTCTCATTCCCTGCTTAATTGCTTGTATAATAGTTATTAATTAGAATTAATGGGAAGATACTACGCTATGGCGGACGGTGCTGCAGCCTCCTTGGAGGGGTCGCCGTCGGGTTTCTATATTATGTTGGGTATGATTGTAGTGTCTGTGATGATGATTTCTATGGTCATCTTTGCTTGTGGTGACTCTACAAATGGGGACAAGCGCGGAGGCGGCGGTTGTGGTGGCGGCGCCGGGTGTGGCGGTGGAGGTTGTGGAGGTGGTTGTGGTGGATAAATAAATAATACTGTGGTTTTTTCTCTCTCTTTGTAATTTTCAGGTATATATAATTGAAACCCTGTAGTATCTTGTTACACAGCAATACGAAAAATTAATGCTTCTGTGTGTATTTTCAATCTTCTCCATCCTGGCCTGAAACATACAAGTAATGATCAGTAAAAATTTAGTTGGAAATACCATTGAAAAATACCATTGAATATTAAAAATTGCCATTGATTTAGATATAGGCGAGGACAATGATGATTATTATATTGTCTTTGCCACCATCCTTGTCTAGGAAATTTGGCCATCATCTTTGTCAAATAATGACATCACAGCTTTTTTAAATAAAGAGATTTTTTTATTTTTATTTTATGTTACAAAGTCAAAAAATAAGTTAAATAAACTCTTGAATTATAGTGCAAGTGTGCAACTAAGCTCTAGAACTCTAAAAAGTTTCAATTGAACTATTAAACTTATAAGAGAAAATCAATTGAGTCATTTTTACTTTTTGTTGCCAATAACTAATATATATCAAATGCCAAATCAGGTTTTTATTTACCAACATATAGCCAAGCCACATTATTATTATTGTTGTTGTTGTTGTTACTATTAAAAATTTTAAGTTGTCGATCGACATTTATAACTCTTATATCTTGTATTATTTTAAGGTGAATAGTGAAAGTTTTGAGCTTGCAGATGATACAAAGTCAACATTATTGTTTCCACCTCTTTTACTTTGGGTTGGTACAAGAGACACAATATTAATTGATATTGTAGCAATGTCTTGAAATTGTTAGGGATATTGGGAACATTTATATTCGCCATATCCGTAGATCAGGAATCATGTAGCTCATGCTTTAGCTCGGGCGTACGTCATGTGTTTTCTTGAGAGAGCTAGAGGAGTAACGCCAAAGGAAGTGGGTGGGGTGTTGGGGGAAGGAGGCAATTTTGAAGAAAAAAAATAGTTTTGCTTGAAAAATGTTTATTATTATTAATATTAAAATTAAAATTAATAAACCAGATCAATTTTTTAAACACATAAAAATCACATCAACCCACATCATCAAAAAAACATTTAGTCAATGTGTTACTTATTGGTAACATGCAAAAAAAAAAAAATGCTAATTATTGTTTTTGTTTTTTTTTTTTTTGTTTTTATAAGTTTGAGGGTTTAATTGATTTTTGGAAGAAAAAAAACAAGTCAAATAAACCACTAAACTTAGTATTTATGTGCAATTAGATCACTGAACTTAAAAAGTATGTAATTAAGTCATTAAACAAGTAAAATATGTGTAATTGTAACATTTTTGTAATATTTATTAGTAGAATCCGTAAATTCATATTACTTACATAGTATGTACTAAGAATCGTTATTTCTTCTACCATACTAGTTGAAATGAAAGGTTAAAATATTTTCAAATTAAATTGTAATAAAAAAAAATCTGCATAAAAATGTTTCATTTTCACATTTTTTTTGCTTGTTTGATGCTTCAATATAATTGCACACATTTTAAGTTTAATTATTAATGACCCAATTATACAAAAATAATAAGTTCAGTTACTTATTTGATACTTGTCCCTTAATTTTTTTTTTTTTAATAAAAGCTCCATTGCATTATTAAATATAACTCAAAAGTTTATTATTGACTCGTATTAAAAACAAAAATAACTTAAGCTTATCCATATCAACTTTTTTAATAAAATATTAGCAGCTATATTTCACTCTCTTTAGAATTTGGATGTCTATTTAAAAATTATTCCCATTTAAAAGATAAATTACATTTAAAAAAATAATAATTTAACCCTTATCCCCTGAAAATGAATACTCACTAGAAAATTATAACGGGAATAGTGTAATTTTCTACGTTTCAAGGGATCTCGAATAAATATATCCCAAGAATTTGACCTCTTGACCATCCCTGCTCGAGTGATGGCTACTCGCTACTCTCTTTAACAAAAACCACCGCTAAACCCTTCACGGTCACAGCCAGCAGCCACCTTGTTCTCCACCGTCCTCCGCTCCGGAAAACACCATAATTTCCTCCTGATCTTTGTCGCCGGA